TGCAGTTGCCAGCAAGGAAAAGATGTTCCTGCCCTTGAAGGCAAAGCTCTTGAGAAGGGGCCGAGAGCCAAGTGCAGCAAGATCTTACAGTGACATTTCCCTGCCAGCCCCCAGAACTTCACCCATGCTTGTTGTAGCTCCTGGATTGGGAATTAAATCAGGGCAGGGTCTCTGGTGGGAGCTGCCCTGGGTGCAGGGAGACGCTGATGTTAGCATTCAGGAACACACATAATCACAGATTGATTATATGCAGGTGCTTTATTGAAGCGTGCGGGATCTAGGGGTATCAGCAACCCAAATCTAGCTCCATCATCTTTGTCCAAAGTGCACATATTTCTACAATTTCAGCTGGAGCAGTAATCACTGTAACAACCTTATCAATATTGCTTCATTAATATTGCTTGATTAGCTTTATCAATATTGCTTCATGACAGTTAGCTCATCCTTGTACAAACATGTACAAATCTGATCTCTGGGTGGGTATCTTGGAATCCCCAAGTACCAGTTCCCATTACCGTAAACATTTCAGCTTGCTAGACCATCCCCAATACCAGACATTCTTGCGGCCTACTTCTTCATGGTTTTAAGAAACCTTTTCAGAAACATTAAACCCCATAGTAACATATTTCTCCCCTTTGAAAGTATTTCACTTTACTAAAATTAATGTAATGCTTTCACTATATAGTCTTGTTGCTCTGAGTTTATACTTGATGTTCATTTTCGAATCTACAGTTGTTGTAAGCGTTGTTACACTCTGGAGGACTTGGAGATGACAAATGCGGATGTGGATCTCTGTCCCGGGTCAGTGCCTTTATTATTTTCTGGTTCCAAGATACTCTTTTCTTTATCTCTCCTTTCAGAACTGCATAGATTAACCAGATTGCTAAGAACACAATCACTAGGATTATCAGACTCTTAAGAATAGATTTGATCCATGAGCTCACATTCCATCCCAATCCTTCAAAAAATTTTATCTAACTAACTTGTGGTCAGATCTTGCTGCTCTTTCTGTGCTTCATGTTCTATTGGTTTTAATTGATTAATGTCGTGTTCTACATCTGCAGTTCATTTGGGTTTGCAGTTCCATTTGGGATGTGGATGCAGCAGTGATCAATTTGTCCTTTTATGTACCCCCATACTCCGTGTTCTTTCAACAATAACATATCTAAAGCCAATCTGTTTTGCAGGGTCATTTTAGTCGTGGCTTGTAATTGTACATTTAGCTCTCTAAATCCCTCTGGTAACTCTTGCCAATCTTTCTACCTGACCTGTAAGTTTGTACATCTTTCTGTTATTGTAATTTTTTATTGGACTAAACAAGGATTCCAGAGCTCACTCAAATTTTATACTACTGGAGGGTTCTTGCCATCTTTCTTCATCTTCAATTTTGTTTTCCTGAACTTCTTGTCTCGTCCTTACTTGCAGAAGTTCATGTTCTCCTTTAAATGGGGACCTTTTCCAAATTGGGCATAAGGTGGGGAGGCCTAAAGTAATCTCTTTTACTTTTCCACTTACAGGCAAATGTGTTGTCCAGGTGCCATCGCTTGCTGCCCACACAAATTGGCCTGGACTCTGAACTGTACTTCTGCTCCATACTACCTTTTGGATCACTTGTCCTATCTTGTCATTTTTTTCACCTTGTTTATGTTTGATTCCTCTGCAGGCACATCCAATTCGCAGAGCTACCACTGGCAGTGGCATTTGTTTTATTTCCTCATCATCAGAAGTACAGTCCTAAGTTTTGTTACATACCCACCAATTCACTTTGTCTGCTTCCATTCTACTACTGCTTGCAGTGTTCCGTACTTATGGACCTGTTTCATTTTCAGAGCCTTCCCACTTAATGCACCAAGGGCTATCTGACATGTATTGGAATTTCTGAAGCACACTCACTCACCATGCACTGTCCCAAGCTTCAGCCCGATCTTTTCTTTCCTTTCATACTTCCATTGTGACACTGGAATCTTTTCTTTAATAACCTTTACTATCTTTTCATAACACCATCCATAATTTCCTAATCCCCCA